CCAAAACGTCATATTGCTGGAATGATGCATATGTCACCTTTTCAGGCTGGCTTCTCTCACTTAGTATATATTTAAGTTTCCTTTGTGCCTTTTCATAGCTTGATGACTCATTTCTTTTTAGTCTATTGTCTGGATGTACCACAGTTTATTTATCCATTCACTTACTGAAGGACATGACATCTTGGTTGCCTTCCAGTTTTAGCAAATATAAATAAAACCTATAAGTAGCCATGTGCAGGTCATTGCGGGCATGTAAGTTTTCAACTCATCTGAGTAAATATCAAGGAACACAACTGCTGACTCATATGGTAAGAGTATGTTTAGTTTTATGAAGAAACTGCCAAACTGCCTATACCATTTTTTATTTTCACGAGCAATAAACGAGAGTTCCTGTTGGTCCACATTCTTGTCAGCTGTTGAAGTCAGTGGTTTGGGCTGTGGCCACTCTTAATAAGTGTATCCCATCATTTACATATAGCATTTTAAAAAGCTTAAAAACTCATAAGATGAATAAGTTCTGGGGATCCAGTGTACAGCACGGTGACTACAGTTAAAAATATTGCATTGTATACTAGAAATTTGCTAAGAGAATAGATCTTACATGTTCTCTTCACACAAAAAAGGTAACTGTGAGGGGACGAATACATTACTTAGATTGATTGTGGTAATCATCTCATAATATATATCAAATCATCACCTTGTACGCCATAAATATATATAATTTTTACTTCAATAAAGTTGAAGTAAATTGAAAAATTTAGCCTGGGGCTAGTATGGCTCAGTGGATTGAGTGCCAGCCTGCGATCCAAAGGGTCGCAGGCCAGGTCCCCAGTCGGCGGCGTGCGCGAGGCAGCCAAACATTGATGTTTCTCTCCTTCTCTTTCTCCCTCCCTTCCCCTCTCTAAAAATAAATAAAGTCTTTAAAAAAAAAATGGAAAAGTTTTGTTAAAAAGTCTAACAAAATAAGAACAATGGGATCTGAGAGCTGGAAAAAAAGACTTTGACTCTAGCCTACTTCCCTCTTTCCCTCTCCTCCTCACCTCTACCATCCAACACACACATTTTATAAATAAAAAACAGAGGCAGAAAGAATTTACTGAGGGCAGGCTACAGCTCAGAGCTCCAAACCGGTAATCTTGTACTTATGCCACACGTAATAATGCCTTTATTCTCTCATTTGCAAATTACACTTTGTGTAGTGGGATTCCAAGACACAGACACAGAGGATCAAGGTGAAGCAACAGGTCTCTGTGTTCATACATAGCTGCTGCTCAAATATTTGTGAGGTGAGCGAGCACGTTCTCTCTGGAGGCCTTCCTATGCTTTCTGCATTAACAATGAACTGACAGGGTGCTCCAGAGGCAGGGGGGCTGTCCCCCTAAAGAATTAAGTTCCTTGCAAAGAGGGATTGAAACTTGAGTAGCATTCCAGGAACTTAAATCAAAATTAGCAGATACTCCTGTTTTTTTTTGTTTTTTGAGACAGGATAATTCTAATTTGTTCTTACTGAAGGACATCTCCTTTCTGGGGAAATTCATCTTCTCCTTTCTATCACATTTTTCTGAACCTGTGGGTCTCCCAAGCCAGTTTACCTGATATGTTCAACATTCCTTGCTGTTCCTACTGTGAAGAGTTTGTGGTAGAGGGTATAAGAGTGAAATAACCTCAACAGGTCTTTTTATTTTCATCTCTGAGTGATGCAAGTCTAGGTTTTTCCTTGTATATCACCTAACCAAGGAGACCTGGAAATAGCCATTCCTCACCAGCATCGTTTCTACATCCAGCCAGAAGAGAGGGCGTGCCACTGCGGGTGTCTTTCCTCCGTTCCCCGTTTCCTCAATCCTATTTTAATAGGATTTATGGAGGTAGAGAGTCTAGAGTCTTGACCAATGTGGGGAATGCAGTTTTACAGCACTTGTCAATGTTAGCGGTCCCCCGCCTGGAGCCCGAGAGTGCCCTGCTTTGTCATACTTGGGAACATTCTTCCCCTTTTACATTTCTGAGAGCTAAACAGTCCTCTTCCATAATTTTGTCTCCTTTCTTCATCTTTGCATCCCTAGCCCCTAGCTCAGACTCGACACACAGTAGAATCTTAGATTGGGAGGCAGCCAGCACTGCTGTTAAGGAAATAAGCATTGGAAGAGATGGAGTCCCACATTCAAATCCTGGGTTGGTTACTTGACCTTAGTCTATTGCTTAATCTGAGCCTCAGTTTCCCCATTTATCAAATGAGAATAAAATATAACCCCAAGTGCTAGGTGAGAAGCATTGAATTAAAAATATATGGCAACTTCTGGTCAAGATGGCAGCGTAGGCAGACAAGGCTTGCCTCTTTGCACAACCACATCAAAATTACAACTAAAATACAGAACAACCGGCACTCAGAAACGTCAGAAATCGAGTTGAATGGAAGTCTGACAATTATGAAATTAAAGAAACCACATCCATCCAGACGGGTAGGAGGGGCGCAGACACATGTCCAAGTGTGGCGGATAAAAATTCAGGAGGGATATCGTGGGAGCAAGGAGTCCCAGTCCCACACCAGGCCCCCCAGCCCAGGGTTCCATGCCAGAAAGATAAGTCCCCACAATCCCTAGCTGCAAAACCAGCAGGGACTGAGTCAGTGGAAGAAACTTCCAAAGCCCCAAGTAGTTCCTCTTAAAAAATCCACACACAGACTCACCTACACAGACGCACTCCCCGAGCTCCAGCGCTGGGGTGGATGGGGTAACCAGGGGCATACTAGGAGAGGCTGAAGTGTCTGGCATCAGGCAAACAGAGGCCACTGTTTCTTTTCTGAGCTCTCCCCCAACAGAGCCAGCAGGCTGGTGGTGTTCAAGACTCCATCAACCTGGCTAACACTATTTGCTCCACCCTGGAGATCCCCAGACTGGGGATCCTGGGTGGAGATCCCACACAACTTAGGGGCCCACCCAAGCTGCTTTTCCGTTTGAATGACTGGTCCTGGCTCATTCCACACAACTTCCTAAATCTTATCAAACAAGCAACAGCTGGTCTCAGTGAGCTCCAGGCCAGGCACTAGCAGCCGCCAGATTAATTTCACTGCTTGGCTTCCCCTGGGAATCTCCAGGCCCAGCACAAGTTAGCAGCCAACCGATTGCTTCATAGCTCAGGAAGGGTGGACCAGGGCATAACACAAGTGGCGGCTAACCTTGGCCTGCATCACCCACAAAACCCCAGGGCCAGAGTGCCTAGTGGACAGCTACAGACCATTTCAAAGCACCACTACCCTGCCCCTGCACAGGTGATACTCCATGGAGCGTGGAGGTTGGTGGCAAGTGGTCACAGCCAATCCTTGCCGCTGACTGGCCTGAATAAATCCCTCCCATTGATCTGCCAACAGCTACCAAGGCTTAGCTGCAAGAGAAGGGTGTACTCAGCCCACATGCAGGGCGCACGTTGAGTACCCAGCTTGGGTGATAGGGGAGGCTGTGCCACTGGACTGTACAGGACACCTATTACATTAGGCCACACTACCAAGACAGAGAGTCACAGCAGCCCTCTACCTAATACATAGAAATAAATATAGGAGGTGGCCAAAATGATGAGACAAAGAAACATGGCCCAAATGAAGGAACAGATCAAAACTCCAGAAAAACAGCTAAATGAAAGGGAGATAAGCAATCTAGCAGACGCAGAGTTCAAAACACTTGTTATAAGGATGCTCAAGGAACTTAGTGAGCACCTCAATAGCATAAAAAAGATCCAGTCAGAAACGGAAGGATTCACTAATTGAAATAAAGAACAATTTACAGGGAAACAATAGTAGAGTGGACGACACTGAGAATCAAACCAATGATTTAGAACATAGGAAGCAAAAAATAACCAATCAGAACAATAAGAATAAAAAAAGAATCTAAGGAAAATGAAGACAGTATAAGCAGTAAAGTTGTCTGGGACAACTTTAAGAGGTCCAACATTCGCATCAGAGCGAAACCAGAAGGAAAAAAGAAACAGTAAGAAATTGGAAATCTACTTGAAAAAATAATGAAAGAAAACTTCCCTAATGTGGCAAAGGAAATAGACATGCAAGTCCAGGATGCACAGAATCCTGATCAAGTTGGACCCAAAGAGGACCACACCAAGACACATCATAATTAAAATGCCAAGGGTTAAAGATAATCTCCTAAGCAGCAAGAGAAAAGCAGAGAGTTACCTACAAAGGAGTTCCCAGAAGACTATCAGCTGATTTCTCAAAAGAAACCTTGCAGGCAAGAAGGGGCTGGCAAGAAGAATTCAAAGTGACGAAGAGTAAGGACCTACACCAAGATTACGCTATCCAGCAAAGCTGTCATTTAGAATGGAAGGGCAGATAAAGTGCTTCCCAGACAAGGTAAAGCTAAAGGCGTTCATCATCACCAAGCCATTATTACAAGAAATGTTAAGAAGACTTATTTAAGAAAAAGAGGAAGATCAAAACTATGAACATGAAAATGACAACAAGCTCACAACTATCAACAACTGAATCTAAAAACTAGAAACAAAGACAAAAACAAAAACAAACTAAGCAAACAACTACAACGGGACAGAATCACAGGTATCGGGATCATTTGGAGGGTTCAGCTGGGAGGGGGAAGGGGGAGCAACGGGGAAATGGTGTAGGGATCAAGAAGCATAACTGGTAGGAACAAGATAGACGGGATATTAAGAACAGTATAGGAAACAGAGAAGCCAAAGAACTCACATGCATGAGCCACGGATACGGACTAGAGGCAGGGGATCGCTGGAGGGAAGGCGGTATGGGTGGAAGGGGGCAAAGGGGAAAAAAATTGGGACAACTGTAATAGTATAATCAATAAAATATACTTAAAAAAATAAAAGTATATGAAAAGTGCTTAGTACTACATGCAACTGATGCTATTAAATGCTAGCTATTACCTGTTGAATACAAGGCTAATGAGAAGCAGAGTGGCACCATTTCTTTTTCCAGGTTCTCATCAGCCTTTCCCAGTTAGAAGAGGGGAGCAGGAGGCACTTACCGGTATGGAGGGAAAGACACGCATCAAAGTTGGATGAGCAGTTGACGGCATTATTACACAAACCAATTGCATTGGGACAGTGGTAGCACTGCAGGCCATGACCTAGAATCAGGAAGAAAACCCATGAGACTCTGGCGGACCAGCGCTGACTTGCCCTCCTGGTCACGGAAGCAAGCCCACCGCCTGCATGACAGTGGGGCAGAGGTCAGCAGGCTTCCAGTCCCACACAATCTGGCAGCGGGAGATTACGATACGGTAAAAGGAAACTTATCAAGAGACGAAGCAAACAGAATTCTATAAATGCCTTCCAAGCAACACATATGCTCTGTGAAATCTCAGTCTTATGGACTAATGATCAGCAGCATTAGGCAGTAGCTATCTATCTGTGTGAAAAGACATTTTCAAAGGTGAAATACATAAAATCTCATTACAGATCGGTATTAACAGATGGAGAAAACTTACAAGCAGTTTCATGGTAAGGAACACTAATTTTGAATCCCAAGGAAGCAAAGTGTTACTTTCCCGAAAAGAATTCCATTCTTCCCATTAGTGGATCTGTATTACAAATAACTGTGCTCAATCATAACATTTCAAATTTTGGCAATTAAAAATTGGTAGAAATTTGTTTTCTCTTGTTATTTATAATAAAAACGTACATAATATCCTTGGCTTTGTCTCTGGGCCACAAAGCCTCAGACATTTACTCTCTGGCCTCTACAGAAGGAGTCTGGTGACCTCTGGGGTAAGGTGTCCTCACTGAGGCTGTTCCCTGCTGAGAAACTGACCTGTCCCCAGGAGCGTGCTCAATCAAGGGGGAGCGAGCAGCTGGACACCTGAAACCCAGACAGGTGGGGCAGCCAGGCGTTTGCAGTAACAGTGAACACGAGAGTCAGGGTACATCAGATGCAAATTGCCTCTGGTTCTCTAACTGGAAAATTAATTCTGCTCCCACTCACATTCTCAGGATTCATCTTTGCTAGATAGACTCTAGGCTTTGCTGGATTATTTTCCCTTCTCCGTTTCCTATCAACAGTGATGAGAAAAACATAGGCCAAATTTCACATCTGTTATGGGAGAGGCAGAGAGATGTAAGAGTTGCAAGACAATTTTCCTGATTTGTGTGGACACGTCCTTTCCTAATTAGAGATGACCTTCTTCCTGCCACATGCCCTATGGAATGGAATGTAACGAGTGTTTGCCACGGCTGAGGCAGGGCTCCGTTATCCCGCTCTGCCTCTTCTCCCCAATATCAGTGTTTGTCAAGCCGGCAGGAGAGGGGAGCCACAATGAGAAGGGATAGATACAATTTTTCTATCCTCTTCTGTGCTCCAGATGTGTGTGCATGCTTGAGAATGTAAGAATGTAAGAGGGAGATACTGTTCTAGCCTGGCTATTTGTGAGGGCCACTCAAAAGGGTTACCTACTTCAGTGAATTTTCTCCTAGCTAGAGCCAGAGTTATCTGGCTTCCTGACAAACCTTCACACAGACGGAGGAACCAAAGCTCACATGTGGAACTTCAGTGGGGCAGAAATGTTCAGCACTGGTACATTTGTTCACTGTTGAAATACCTGTGCGCCTATGAGCTCAGCTCTTCATCTTCACAGGATTGTTACAAGAGGTAGGCTCAATGATCTCCATTGCCATTTTTCAAGAGAAAACTAAGATTAACATGTTAACTAACTGGTCCAAAGTCACAGAGCTACTGTGTAGGACAGCCATGATTCAAACCCAGACTGCTAGTTCTGACCCCCAAGTCAGGTTTAGCCAGGATGTTTTTCTAATCCTGAATGGGAAAGAGAAGGGAACAGCACGCACTGTGGGGAGCACCCAGGTCAGGGACAAGCAATAAGTCAGCAGTCAGCTGTTCGATATTCTCGCTACTAAGCCAGGGTAGAAGGATCTGCTTCAGATGCCAGCTCTTGAGGAGGGGCAGGACCCGTCACAGAGGAGCTGATGACCCCAAACCCACGCCTGCTCTATAAACAGACTGCTGGAAACTGGGCATGACCTGATTATTCTAATCACAGAAAACACACTGCATAGAAGAACTCAAGACACTACATTACATCGTGTTGTAACAAAGGTAAACCAAATTATAACCTACCCTGCTTAGAATTAGCAGAGGTAGGGGGAAGGGAGTCAGGACTTCCCTTTCTCTGAAAGGGAGAACATATTCAAATGTACCCTTGGACTAGCTTCTTCTTTGCTTGTTTCCTCAACTAGAAAAGCTGGAAGGATTAAATGAGATTTGGCTTGGCACAGTCCCTAGTACATAATAGGCATTCAGTTAATGGAAGCTACTAAAGCTACTTGTATGTAAGACACGCTCCAATCTAGCAGACTGCTTTCTTGTTCTTTGCATTGCTACTTCTTTCTCTGCCTCTCCACACTGCCAGCCCTCCCACCCCCAAAATGGTAGTACCAATATGACACAGGTAAGTGACATTTGATCCTTATGATGAAGCAAAGCAAGTCACACAGGTGTTCCTGGTGTTACAGATGTTAACATGCAGGGATAGACAAATGCCTCCAGGAGCCAGGGAGGGGTGGCCTGGCGGTAAAGGAATTGAAAGCAGGCTGTTTGGGTGCAAATTCTGGTGCCAGGCTGTTTGGGTGCAAATTCTAGCTATGCCACTTCTGTGGGACATTTGACAAGTTGTTTAATCTCTATGGGCCCCAGTCTTGGCACTTGTAAAATGGTGATAAAAACAGTACCTATTCCATGGCATTGACACGGGAATTAAATGAGTAAATACCTGTGAAATGTTCAGAGTAGCGATCGGCGCATAAATGCTATAAGCATTAGCTGCTCCTGCTATTCTGTGATCGCCACCCTCATCATAGCACAGGAGAAGCGTCAGGGCAGAAGGACTGAGCTCAGCACTCTGAAGATGGTGTCCCCAGCAGCTTGTAGTGACAGGGGTGAAACTTAAGCTGCTGAGTGTACCCGCCTCTGCCCCCCACCCAAGAAAGCAGCGCTGTAACCCAGAATAGCTGTAACTCAGGAAGGCGCTCCACGTCAGGGCGACATAGGAAGGAGCTGTCACACAACCCTGGATATGTAACACTGGAAGGCAAAGAACCACAGCCAGGCTGCAGCCAGCGACATCAGCTCCGTCCTCCTGAGGCCTAAGAAAAAGGAAGCGCACGGCTAAGAGGGCCTAGAGGGTCCAGACCTGCGTCCCTCTGGACCACTCACCGGAATGGCAGAGGACAGAGACGATGAGCAGGAGCCCGAGCAGGGTGAATCCTCCTTTGCTTCCCATTGTCTACAGAATCTGGAAGGAAGACACACAAAGAATCGTCATGAACCAACAGATGACTGACCACTGACCGGTCATCTCAGAAACCAAGACTGAGAGTGCCTAGGGGGCTTCAGGAGACACGGGGAAGGAGCTCGCACACCAAGAAAGCACAGGAAATCTACCAGGCTGGAGGGCCACGACCAAGGGGTGCCCTCGGGTAGGGCAGCACTTGGTCCCACCCACTGCCCCCAGTCCTCAGCTTACTGAAGAAATGCTGCCGATCCTGGCGAGGGGCAACTATGAGGAGTCAAAGCCCACAGCGCCCAGAGTCAGGACCACCTGGGCCCCGCCCCGGCTCTCGCCGCTAACGGCCATGGACCCTCTTTCTATGCTGTGGGGACAGCACTGCTTTTCCCATAAAGGAGGTTCAGTCAAACGAGAATAGGAGGAAATTACTTAATACCGCAACTGCAATTCTTGCTCCACTGCAATCTCCCCCTAAACCGTCGGCTGCCCCAGAGCCTGGGGAAGGCCGCTTCTCCAGGCCACGCCACGTAAGGGCATCCGACTGGAGGGCACCAACGTGCGTGCACTCAGCAGCAGGACAGAAGGCACTGGCTCAGCACACCTGAAGCTCTGGCTCCCCTCCTTGGCAACAATGAGGAGGACATGCCTTGGTTCACTGTGGGGAAGGAAAAGGGGTTCCAGGTACCTTTGATGGCTCATCCACATTACATTCACACCTAGACGTGTAGCGGTGAGCCTCAGAAGACAGGAGCGGGGTGGGGGCTGAAACGCCTCAAGCCCTCCTTTGGTCTGCTAAGCAACTCAAGACACAGGGAGATTTTATTAACCTGTCTGTGGATGAAAAGAGGGCCACGTACTAAACTGGCAGGCTGAGTGGAGGCCAGGATGGCAGCCTTCCGTAGGGCAGTCTGAACAGAAACCTTCCTAGCTAAAAAGCAGGTCTCAGCAGGTGGTCACATTCTAGGTCGGCAGCTTTCCTGACAAAGGTCAGTCTTTACCTTAAGGGAGCCTGTCTTGTTGTTGTTGTTGTTAACATAATGGAATTTTTGGAATTTCAGAGGAATTCAGAGTAATCTCCCTTTCTAGACCCCTCAGGGCACACCTGTCACAGGAGAGCAGGGGACCATGAATCCTCATTCTTGTCTTGTTCCCCTAATGCCATCTCTATGTGCTGGAAATACTAAAGTGCTGAACCCACCAATGGGAGGACATCTCTCCATTTTACTCTTTATCCCATCTCAGAGATTTCCCCATTTTGCTTTCTTCTGCCTCTCTAGTCTACCACCAATGAATCTCATATAACCTCCTTTATATCTCCGTTGATTCTAGTGTGTAAAATAAGCTATAAAACTGCCATTCTCTGGAACATTTCCTCAAACCGTTGAGATGTGTGCTTCCTGGTAATTGTCACTTTGGCTCAAATAAATTCATAAAAATTCTCTAGAGGTTTGGTCATTTCTTATATCATGCCTAAACCACGCATTTAGTAACATGTTTAGGAAGGCTCACAACCCCACCCCTACTCCCGGAGCTCATCCTGAAACAAGGAGGTGACAGCCCCTCTACACTGGGGCTCTTCCTGACACAGGCCAGGGGCCAGGCAGGCGGGGCTCTTGGTGGGTGAGGCCCCATCCTCTTCTGGGTCAGGAATGGCATCTCTCACACCTTCAAAGATCATCTGCTGCTCAGGAATTGGCTGGTGAAAACCAGGAAAAGGTTGAGAAGCAGAAAGGGCAGAATGTGATTAAATACTTAGGGGCCTCTTCTTCTAAGGGCCCGTGTGATTATACTGGGCTCAGTGCCACTGAATGCCAGCCCGTACGCACACCCAGCTTTCTGTAGCAACTTCCATTTTGTTAGCAAATACGATAGCCAGTTGTCTGGCTATGTGCAATTGACGTTACCTGTATTTAATCCTGATAACAATGCGGAAATTTTTTTAACGATTTTATTTATTTATTTTTAAAGAGGGGAAGGGAGGGAGAAAGAGAGGGAGAGAAACGTCAATGTGTGGTTGCCTCTTGTGTGCCCCCTACTGGGGCGCCTGGCCTGCACAGGGCTAGGCATGTGCCCTAGGCTGGGAATCACTCTGGTGACCCTTTGGTTTGCAGGCCAGCACTCAATCCACTGAGCCACACCAGCCAGGGCAAAATGCTGCACATTTAATCTCCATCGCTATTTATAAGGGAACTGAGGGTTGAGATGGGGAACTAATTTACACACAACTGTGGAAGGGAGAATAAATCTTCCCCAAAGGTGTCCAGGTACCACCTGTGAATACAGGCAATTTTATGTGGGAAGTGACTTTGTCGATGACGTTACGGTTCAGGGAGATGTGAAAACAGAAGAGGCAAGAGAGTTAGACGGAGATCGACTTCGCCAACTGCTGATTTTGAAGACAGAGGAAGGGGGCCACAGCTGAGGCAAACAAGTGGCCTGTAGAAGCTACGAATCTCCTCAACTAACACTCGGCCAGGAAATAGGACTTCAGTCCTCCAGCCACAAGAGCTGTAACTGTGCGGATAACCTGGGAGAGGGAAGGGAGCGGGTTCTCCCACAGAGCCTCCGGAAAGGAAAACGGCCCCACCGACACCTTGATTTGCACCTGGCAAGGCCATGCCAGCTGTCTCAGTTACAGAATTGTAAGAATAATACTTTTGTGTTGTGTCAAGCAATAGTAAACTAATACAGCAGCCTCGGAACTGGTATATGGTCAAACAACATTTAAAACCATGTCTGAGTTCTTCACCGTAGTTAAGCTCTCTGGTGGGGAGACTTCTTGTGCATTCAGGTTCTGAAATAAGTTTGCTTAGCTGAGGCCGCCAGAGATTTTTACATTGGGAGATTCACATATGCCCACGAGTAAAGTTACTGCTCCTGGAAGCCTGGGGCCTGAAAGGCTGGTGAACTGTAAGGCCAGAAGTGTCCTCAAAGATAAAACCCAAAGTTCTATTTTATAGGAAGTTAATGGAGTCCCTCGGGGTTGGGGTCGGGGTGAAGAAGTTACCTTTCCCAAGGCAACACGGTTAGTTGCAAAGCCACCTTGGTTGGATCACACTTCCATTCACCAGGGTTAAGTACCAGTGGCTTAAAATTACCTGGTGACTAGGAGTGTCAAGGGCTTGGAGGGTTGCCTCATAATTAACATTGCCTGCTGCAGCCGGGCAGGCCTAAACAAAGATCAATTATTTGTTCACCAAGGTAATTGGAACAGCAGTGAGGAAATACAAACAGAAAACCACATACATCACAGTGAACAGCCCCTCCCACTCTGAGGTTCCACTACTGGACTCAACCACCTGAGACCTCCCTAAACCACACAAACCTGCAGCGTCCTCATCTGAAAGTCCTTCGCTTTCCAGAGAGCCTCTTATCATAGGGCATGCCCTCACAGCCCTGTCCTTCGAGACTAACGGCACAGCCAACTGTTTAATGAAGATTTTCACAAAGATATGGAGCATAGGGAAAAAAAAAAAAGTCTTTGAAAAACCTCAGGCAGCTCTGAGCTTGGGTTGTTTGTGGAATCTGGCTGAGGGTCTTCAAGAGCTGGCCCAGAATTTTCAATGCAATCTTTTTTTAGGAGCTTGCAGTTGGAACTGTCAAAGATGAGTTAATTCCATTAGATTCCTGCTCTCCTCACCCTAAAATCCATTGTGTTTGGGCTTTTAGCTTCTGAACCACCCAGCCTAACGGCATGTTTTCTTACAGGAAACAGTCTCTGACTTCTACTTTGGAAATACAGAAGTCACAAATCATAGGCATATTTGGTCTACAGTAAGGCAACCTATCTGCTTTAGGGTCATAAATTTCCCAGCGCATTGGGAAATGTTGCCACATCCCTCAGTTAACATTCCGAGCCCTGTGTACCTGCCTTAGAGAACTGGGAGTAAACTGTCCCCAGTGGGGAACATGAAGAAGGTGGAACACAAAGATACCCAAAATATTAACAGCCACCATTTGGTCTCCATTTGGTGCCTAACTAAGCCCTTTCCGTGAATTACCTCATTTAGTCCTTGTAACTCCCAAGGAAGTAAAGCTCTAGGATTTTCCTGATAAGAAAATGACATCACCTAGTTCACTCAGGGCCCAGTGCGAGCTCGGTGCGGGCACAAAAAAGATCTGAAATGTGTTCTAATAGAACTAAACAAACAAATAGGGGGAGGCAATCATAAGTCGGGGAGTTTTACATTGTTTTTGGTTCCAGTAACAAAAATCAGAAGGCACCACAAACTTTCCCATTGCCTGGGTTTTAAAGGTCTTAAATCTAGCCCTGGCCATGGGTTCTTTCCCCAAACTGGGCCAGGGGTGAGGCCAGGGGAAAAAGTCATTATTTTTTCCCCCGTAACAAGCTTTATATGTGTCTTAGAGGTGAAATGGAATATGTGAGTTAACACATTTCCAGGGTCCTTGAAGAGCCTGCTTCTCCTTAAACCATTCAAATGACTATTTAACATTTCTTCCAAGTCGACTGTAAGAAGGACGTAGCCCAAGCCGGCCCCAGAAAACAAAACCTCATACCAAATTTGGACTTAGAAGGTCTGTTTCAGCCCTGCTTTGTTGATTAAAGTTCAAAATTTAGACCGCCACGTTAAATGAAGAATGTCCTTGACCATTTGGGAGTGGCGTTAATCTCCTCTCAAGGCGCGATTTCTTTTCCCTGAATTGCCAAGAGCTTCCCTTCTATGGTCAGGGGTCGAGGAAAATATATCCAAGGGAGTGGAAGGCACAGCCCACGGAATTTGGGGTGCCCGCTCTTCCCTTTGTCTTTGTTATAAACAAGGGAAGTTGGCGTTCTGCCAGGCTCTTTAGGGAGCTTAAAGCGTGCGGCCGAGGACCTCCGGTGCGGGGAAGGGCAGGGCGTCGGGAGAACGCCCCGGCTCGGGGGTTTGGGAAATGGCTGGGGTCGTCCCCAGGGCGCGGAGGCCAGCGCAGTGGGGAGTGGGGAGCAGAGAGGAGGCAGGAGGGAGGGGCTCGGGTCTCCGGAGGCCCGCGCCTGCAGAGGTCCGCAGCCGCCGCGGACTCGCAGCGCAACTTGGCCCGCGGCCTGGCCTTACCTTTCCGCGTGCCCAGGGTCCGACTTTCTGCGCTGGCAGGGCTGGTCGGTTCGGCAGTATTTATGGCCTGGGCTCCGGAGGACTCCGCCTCCTGTTACTCCCGCCCCCAACCCCAAGCTCCGGCCTTGGGCTGCGCGCGGTAGGCCGCCAGCCAGTCCAGGTCACGGGTATGATAAGCGCAGGCCCCCAGCGGCTGCCGCAGACATCCTTTTACCCGGGTCCGGAAGCAGGGCAGCAGCCACTGGGCATCAGGGGGGTCAGGCTCCTAACCGATGGCCAGATTAAGACCTTTAAAATCCAGGCGACGAAAGTTGGTGGTGTCCTCCCTTTTGTTGTGAAAACAAAAAATATGAAACTCCAAGACTTACGATTTCCTTTTTGTTTTAGCTTTTTATTTTTTTTAAATATTAAAATGTACTTCAAAACTTTTTTGGGGCCCGTGCTAACCTCGCCCTGGGCCCGGGTGTCGGGTTTATCTGGCCCTGCTGCAGTCTGGGGCTCCTTTCTGCTCTCAGGCTCGGCAGCCCCTAAGTATCCTTCAGTCACAGCCATCCAAGCTTTGTGTCTTGTTTGGAACTAAGATAAAACTCTGCAAAACCACTATTTAGAACGCTATTTTTATGTGAAAATGTAATTCTAAGTTTTGTTTATCACGTGGGAAGTGTCCCGTTCCCCCCCCCCCCCGCCCCCGCTCCCGGAGAACTGGCTTTAAGAGCACGGTGGGGAGAGTGGGGAATAAAAGGTCCTCGTGCAATAAAAGGTCTCTCTCCTGAGAGATTAATGACCTCTGTGGGAGACCACGAGACACTTTCCGAGGATCAGGGTGAGAAAATACTGCATCTCACGACGGCTTATGCTGAATCGAAAGGGGAAGCAAACAGGGCAAATCATGATTTATGATGATGTGCTTCCCACCATGATACTCTGATAGTTTAGGGATGTCGGGAAATGAGTTTCATTCGGTGTCTGCTCAAATCAGCTAAATATGGACTTCCTAGTGATAGCTTGTTTACAAAGCTCTTTCAGATGCATTATCTTACATGCATCCTATTAGCTGTTCTCTCCTTGAAACTCTCCTGGATTCTGAGATGCCAATTTTTCCTGGCTTTGCTGCCAGTTCCTTGTTTGGTCTGAGATTCTTTCCCATTACTCATTTATCATCTGCATTTCCAGGGTGGGACTGAGAACCATTGCTCTATGTGCCTCCTGGGAGACTATAGTGCATCCACGTTGTTTTACCTTGGCAATGTTTGTAGATGATTTGCAAATATTTATTCTCCAGTCCTGATCAGTCCCTCAGGCTTCATATTCATATCCAACGTATTGCTGGACATCTTCACCTCCATGTCCCACAGACATTTGGAATTCAAAATGTGTCCAAATCTGAACTCATTTCCAGGGTTCCACTGTCCACCCCGCCCCTCCCAACAAATGAAGCGAGAGACCTGTGAATCAACTTTGAGTTTACCCAGTCCCTCACATCTGACTCCTGCCTACCTCATCATTTAGTTATCTCAGTTTCATAGCCTCTTCGCTACACCTGCTACTGCCCTAATTCAGGCCTGCAGCATGTCTGTCTTGGACCATTACAATTACTTCCTACTAGGTCTTCATAAGGAATATGTTAATTCCTGCATCCCTCGCCCCTTCTCTACCTATCCTGCTGGAGACCTAGCTGCTTCACCTCTCCAGTCTGTTTGATTTTTTTACTTTTATTTTTTTATCATCCTTCCTGGAACACAGTATGACTGCAGCTTCTATTTTGCAACCAGCTGGTGACCTTTAAGACTATTCTTGTGCTAGGGATGGCAGAACAGAGATGGAATCTGGGATGTCGACACCACTGGGCTATTTATTTTATCAGCCCCAAATCAGTTACCTCTTATCACGAGGAAAACCCCCCTAAACTGTTTAAGCTGTTTATTTAGTTATGTTTCATTCTGATACATCAAACTTTAGACAAATGGGATAGGTGTTCTCAAGGGACTTGAAAGCCAAAAATGGCCTTCATTAAAAGTCTGACCAATTGTTAGATCCCTTTCATGTGTGAATACCCATTTTTGTCAATGAAATAAAAAATATCTGAGCTTGTTATCGATACCTTAGCATGAACTAGAGGTCATGTATCCAACATACTAGGAGAATGTAAATTTTGATGAGAGAATAGGAGCAAGGACTGGAGGAGCTGCAGGAGAGACTTGGGGCATCGTGAGCACTCGAGGACGGGCAGAAAGGAGAGGTCGTCCAGAAAACAGAAACATGCAAAGCATGCCAGGGATCCCAACACTAACTAGTTTAAGTTATTGCTTTATCAGGAAACTTTTAAAAAATCAATGGGTTGATTGAAAAGAAGAGATAGGCATAATAGAAGGATTTGGTAACCTGATAATACTCTATTTAAAAAAAAAATGGGCAGAAAAACTACTTACTCCATTTCAGAACATTTTGACATGTACCAATATGAAAGTGTTAAGTTTGGCTTCGTGGTCTCTGATGGGAGCTGCTTCACCCTGAATACCTCCCTTCTTACAGTTTTCAGTGCCCAACAACTGTTCTTGGTGGAAATGGAAGGTGGGGTACCTGACAAGGTATAACCAAAGCCAGGAAGTGGCTTTGAATGGGGCTCTAGAAACAGGCCAACAGTTTTCATTTTCTTTCACATTAGGAGCAAAGGCTTACTAGTAAGTTGATGGAAAATAGGCAATTATACAAAATGCAGCATCAGAACCAAAATCTGTTTTTAAAATGTGAGTTTTTGACACTTGGAGGACTTCATTCCAAACTCACAATAATATAATTACCAAAAAAAAAAAAAAAAAATCCATGTTTCAGGAAAACATACTTAATCCTAACATAAAATTCATTTCACTTATCACCAACTTAGTGAAATGTATAAACAAGAACCAAAAAAGAAAAATCAGTATTTACAAATTCAGACTACATAAGACATTGTGAAGAATTTTTGTTAATAAAACAACACAATACATACTTTTACACTCTACATTTAAAAAAATGATGCATCTGTGAACAATATGATAAAAGTTGTAATGTTGATGGCTTTAAATTAAATTCAAGGTATCATGTTGAAGATTTTAAATTAAATTCAAGGTTGGGAGAGCTGAAGACTAAACTCAAAAGCCAAGGTCATAGAGACTTTAAATTCAAGGTTATAGTGATAAAAACGTTAAATTCAAGGATTGTCTAAGAAAGGACAAAAAGGCTAGCATTCAACCTATTTAGTCAATTAGTTCCCTGTGAGTACAAAATATATAGAAATCACTAAATGGATTCGCCTAATTACAAATTATGTTCATTTCTACATAAGTCACAACTGCAAGAAGTCTTTTCACAGATTTTTTTCAATCACATAGTTTCTATCCTTGGGTAGGTATTTCTGCTACATTTGAAATCCTTATTCAAAACAATTCTTTCCCACTTCCATATTTTATAAGTACAAAATACTTTTAAACAAAGAAATGTCCATTTGTTAGCTAGAGAGCTATTCCCCCATTGACGTCTAGAAGAGAAAAAAAAAGATTCCCATTTCTTCCTCTACCTCAAAAACACAAAAGAAAATGCAAACAATCCAATTCTTATGAAGAGTCGCATAGAATCCAGAGCCCAGAACAATATTTCATGCTAGTTTTCTTGCTATCTGCTGAGAACAATTTAGGTATATACATTATTGAGAAATCTATTTAGCAAGGTGGATTCATTCCAGTGCTTCCATTAGCAGAGGCTTGCTAAAAGAGGCGTGAGTAGCGGCGTCTGCGAATGGGAACATCGAAGAGTCTCCTCGGCCTCCCTTCCTCATCCTCTTCGTCAGATTCATCCATATCTGCCGAGTCATCGTCATCGTCTTCCTTCTCTTCTTCTGTCTCTTCCATCTCTTCATAGTCATATGAAGATGATTCGTCCTCCTCGTCTTCTGCCTCTTCCATTTCCTTGAAAGAGAAAACAGTCTTTTGATAAGAACTTCCATCAGCTTTTTATACTTATTTAATGCAAATTCTGATTTATCTAGACTCTAAACAACTAGATTGCCAAACGGAATTTTTATAGACTTGAACAGCACATTTTCAAAATGCACATGTTGATGCCAAGATTCCAGAGTGTATATTCTAATACGTGTTTAAAAATGCTCAAGGTGGTTTTCATGGTAAATGTAGTTCCTCAATACAGTACTCATTTTTTTTACATGGTAGTTGTTATTCATATATGGTGTAGCAAACAGACCACTCCTAATAAGATAGGACTTTACTGAATTTATCATTACTGTATTTAAGGAACAGTTCCTTATTAATCTATATGCTTACAAAAAAGATGTGAAAATATTGATCAGGTAGGACCTCTACTGGTAATTTGTATGTACTGTCAGGAAGAGGCCTAAGATTTCTATTGTGTTCCTACTATAAAGACACATCATTTCAATTTTAAGTTAACTTGCTGAAGGCTCTCAGAATAGGGAAGTTATATTGAATTCATACTGTCTGAACATCTGCAGTAAACTTGCTCTTAAGCAATGTCTCTAGTCAAGTCTTGACTTACTCTGCTGTCCATTTTCTCACACTTCTAAAGATCCAAAGAGAAGAGCTGCTACATCGCACAGAATTCTGAGACGCAAGGAGGTCCTAGTTTGTAATGTGGGAAATGCTGGGAAACAGGACGTGGTATCAGCAAAAGTCCTTCCACTGAGGCTTCTATGACATTTCATGACGCAGCACCTCCACTACCCTTCTGATCTCATCTCCAACCACTGCCCGCGTTCCCTGCCCTCCAGGACGAGGGCATCCTTGCAGTTCTTCCAGGCACGTTAGTGTGTCCGGACCCACTACACACAGGACCCAGTGTTAGTGTGACTGTACTTGTTTTTTTAGCTTGGAACACTCTTCTCCCACATACCCAAAGGCTCTTTCTACTACTTTCAAGTCTCAACTCAAATGTCACTGAGGCCTTTCTTAACGCATCTTTGTATTACACAATCCAACAGGACATTCCTTATTCCCTTTACTGATTTTTCTCCAGAGCGCAGTGAGCAATTCTACCTGACCTGAGTACATAGTGTTTATTTGCTACACTTGTCGCTTCTA